TATACAAACACACATACGCATATATATATACACACATACATATACATACATACACACACACATATATGTATATATACATATACATATACAGACTCCCACACACACACACATCTATATATATGAATATATTCACCGGTAAATTTAAAAAAACCCAGAAGTGCCCTGTGCACGCAAAACAGGTACACTCCCCATGCATACGATTTTGTGTTGCCCACGAAACCATCATGGTACATCAGGCGTGAGGCAATAGTAAATATCAAATCACTCACATCAGCAGAGACACACCATGAGGCCTCATAAATACAAAACATGGGGAGAATTGAAGTAAATGACTAGCTTCAAATAAGAGCTGTCTGGTCAGTTGAAAAACAGACAAGTATGCAACATGTAGTGTCCTGCTGGGAAGTGTCCCGGGCGCACTACAACCCCCTCGGAGAGTGTACACGGAAATGGGCCATACGGAGAACACTATTTATTTCAATTTGGGTTAAATTAGTATGGGTCTACATGTGCATCAGACGTTCCATAGCAACATATACACAGTGCCGCACAGGTCAAAACATCAGGAGACATTCGGAACGCACACTTACGATCACATCCACCACTAAAAGTTTACCACAACGCAGAGCCCACCCAGAACTATAAACAAAGTCGCAACATAGTGTCACATGCGTGAAGCGGTAGATGAGGTACTACAACGAATAATATCGGATAACATACCGTTCAAAATCCAACAGAAACAACACGTTCTCCTCAAAGGCTTTGTTCTTAGCGTATTGTAGAAATGACAGTCGGACGTTACTGCAAGGACGTAGTCAGGGGTTGAGTTAGACTCGAAGAACAGTAAGAAAACAACCAGTAGTGCATGATGATTGTGATGCGGAGGAAGCGCATGCCATGTGCTTCAAGTGATATTGTTGCATATAATGAGTGAAAATATACACAAACGTGAAATACATGTTCGTGCACACAGATGATAAACAAAAGATAGATACTTGTGCTTGCACAACATCTTAGATGCATTGGAGAATAAATTAAGATACATCAGTAAAAATACATCAGTACACTTTCCACAAATGATGACTCGATGGAAACACAAAATTGCTGTACGCCCACACAAATACATGTATGCATCAATAAATGAAGTATAAGTATAAGTGTACGTAAACACACAGCCACAGACACAGCCACAGCCACAGCCACAGACACAGACATATATATATATAAATGTATAGATATATATAAATATGCACATGCATGTGTAAATTAAATGTATAAATGCGCATGTATATAGATACATAGTTACATCGATATACATACATACATACATACATACATATATATATATATACAACAGACAAAGACACAGACACAAACATATATATGAAAACACATTTTATACTATGTATATATATACATACATATGTATATATAAATATATATAATTTAGATCGCTATATCTTTATATTAATACATAAACAGATACACAAACACACACATACAAACATACACATAGATATATAAATAAACGTGTATCTGCTATTGTTTTTGTGTACGACTTAACGAATAGACGAACACACACTCACACAAACACACACTCACACAAACACACACACATATATATATATACAGAAACATATACATATACCGGTGTATTTATACATATACATATTTACACATTTACACATTTACATATATATATATACATGTATATATAAACATGCACATGTACATATACACATATACACACACATACATATATAATATATATATACATACATACTTATGCACACACACATATATATACATATATATAAATGTATACTTATATATATATATATAAATATATATACATGTATATA